AGAAGGTCTATTGCAGATGAAGGTTCTGATTTTGTTGAAGCCTGTGCTGCATTCTTTTAGGTGAGTTGGAGGGTGCCAGAATGCAGAGCTACAGTAACTGTACTGCATATGTTCCATGCAGATGATCTGCACTGCCTCTCAGCACATCTAAGTGCTTAGGCACAGAGAACAAGAGAAAGGAGGATAAACTTCTCCTGGGATTCTGCTGTATTGGTGTGTCAAGCCAAATTTTTAATTTGGAGAGCAATTCTGCAGAAATGAACAGAAACTGCTATCTAAACATTTTAATAAGAATAAGCCCCCAAGCCAATAGGCAATCGAGTGCTCTGCTTTCTAGTAATTTCATTTATACAACAGCTCCACAAGCTGTTTCTCTCTCCATATTCAGATAACCCTCGCCTCTAGGGTGACTGTAAAAATGATATTTTAATAATGTGTCACATCTGTGATCAGAAATACTTAATGAAACCCTCTTATGATCATATGGTAACAAGCTTCAAAAAACTACTTCCAGATTTAGACAGGGCCAGTTTGCTTTTTTATGGTAACTTTCATAGGGATATTTTTCAATATTGTCTGCAAGAAATCATACCTAAGGAGGGGTGCTTTGGATCAGCTCCTGCATTTATTTTAACTGTGAGGGCTCACTGGAGCCGACAGAACTAAACCAGTGCTATCTAATAGTAATAGAACATGAAAAGCATATGTAATTTAAAATTTTCTGGAAGCCCATTAAGGAAAGTACAAACAATCAAAATTCTAATAAGTTTTATTTAAGATGATATATATTCAAGGTTCAAATTTCAATGTGTAATCAATATATAGACATAAAGACATTATTAATGATTATAATGCTGCACCCTGGAGATTAATATAACATTAAAAACCTTCGATACCTTAATAAAAATTTATTTTACAAAAATATTATTAATGAACTATTTTACATGTTTTTGTATTATGTCTTCAACATGTGCATTTCATATTTACAGCACACATCAGTCCAGAATAGCCAGGTTTCAAGGAGTCAGCAACCACCTGTGGCTGTCAGTTATCATGCTGGGTGGTGCAGCGTTAGAGCAAAAAGTCTCTGAAAGGGTGGCTGGCAACAACTTGTATCAGGAAAGCCTGGGAATCTTAAAATGACTGTGAATTTCTAGGCTCTATTCCTGACCTACCAAAGTCTATGTCTGCGGTGACACTAAGCAATTTGCAATTTTTAACAGGTGCCATGGCTGGAATTTTGTTAAGTAAAGTGGATAACATTTGTTAGGCTCCCTGTCCAAACTTGCTCATAGTCCTTCAGCCATCAGCACACAATCCCTGCAACTCTGCCACACGGTATCGTAAACTGTAGGTGTCAGACAGACCAGTCTATTCTGTCATAGACTCTCAAGCACATTTGCTATGTGCCTGGCACTGTTCTCAGCCCAAAGGATAGAGTAATTAAAAATATGGACAAAATCCCTGCCTTTTTTGAAGCTTACATCCTAGTGGAGAAGAACAGATGCTAAACAAGTAAGTGTAAGTAAGTGGTCTATTTTCAGGTGGTGATAAGTCCAGAGAAGAAAAGTAAGGCATGGTTAGGGGTCGGTTGGGTTTTGCAATATAAAATAGCATGAAAAGAAATAAAAGGAAAAGGGGGACCTTTTGCCCTTGGTGATATTTAGAGATAGATAGATAGATAGACACACATACATAATGGAATACTATTCTGCTATAAAAAATTAAAGTCTTATATTGTCACTATATAAGATGAAACCAGAGAGTATTTAACCTTTTTAAGATAATAGTGTCTATTGACCAACTCTATGTCTTCTTTGGAGAAGTGTCTATTCAGACCCTCTGTCCACTTTTTAATTGGGTTGTTTGCTTTTTGTTGTTGTTGTTGAGTTTTATGAATTCCTTGGGTATTATGTATATTTACCTTTGTCATACTATGATAAGCAAACGTCTTCTCCCTTTTGGGGTGATAGTCTTTTTGTTTTGATGAAAATTTCCTTCATACTGCAGAAATTTTTTAGTATGATGTAGTCTTCTTTGTTTATTTTTACTTCTTTCTCTTGCTGTTGTAGTTAATTCTCCAAATACTTCTCTAAGATTGATGTCAGGAAGCAGGGGGACCTAACTTTTCTTCTGTAGATGTTACTGTCTCCAGTCTTACATCCAAGTCTTTAATTCACTTGGAATTAATTTCTGTGTAATTTCAATAGTAGTCTAGTTTCATTCTTCTTCATGTGGCTGTCCTGTCTTCCTAGCACCATCTATATTTTATGTAATCTATTTATTTTATATTAATTAAACTTTTTTATTTTATTATATCATTGTTTAATTTTGTAGAATATTTTATTTCTCCCCTCAGGTGTGGTCCCCATAAGCCTCCCACCACATCACCCGTGAACCGTCACCATAATGCTTCCAGCAAAATCAATAGTATTTTTGTTGTAACCCAGTTGCCTGTATGTATGTGGTTTTATTTCTGAACTCTCAATTCTGTTCCAGTGATTTTATTGTGATATCAAGATTTTAAAATTACTATCGCTTTGTAGTTTTACTTGAAGTCAAGAGTATACCTCCGTTTTTGTTCTTTTTCTCCAGCATATGTTTGCTATTTGGGGTCTTTTGTAGTCCCAAATAAATCTTATAATTTGTGTCCTATTTCTATGAGTAATCAGATGAAATCTTTAAAAGTGAACTTATTGGTGCACTAAGGACCATCCTTGGCCCTTTGTAAAGAAGAAAATCTTGTTGAGGAGGAGACAGTATGTCAGGGAAGAATCTTCCTCCTAAAACTTCAAAGAAATGAGTTCTTCCAACAACAGAGCCTAGAGGGGAACCCTGAGCCTCAGCTGAGACCCCAGCTCTGGCAACAACTTCATTACAGCCTGTGACCTTGAGTAGAAGACCCAACTATTATAATTAGTGAAGTAAGCCAGAGAAAGATAAACACCACGTGATTTCACTCATAGGTGGTGTATAAAGAAACAAAACAAAGCCATGTACTAAATTAAGCAAAAATGAACTTTTAGACTCGGAAAGAAGGGTTAGAAGACTCTAACCAGAAGGGAAGGAGGAAGGTAGTTAGCTAAACCACATATAAAGGGATGGAACTGGACTTTTAGCAGTGAACTTAATGCAATATATACAGATGTTGATTTATAATGATGCACACCTGAAACTTATAATGCTGTAATGCAATGTTACTTCAATAAAAATTATTTAAAATAAAAAAAATAAAGAAAACCAGATGGTTAGAACAAAGAAAAGAAAAGAAATGCCCGGCTGAAATATTTGAATTATGTTCTCTCTTGAGAGCTAGGAGTAGGAGCAACTGTACTGAAGCAATTGGTGTCTAGAAGTTCCTGCTGAATAGACTTTGTCAGTGAAAGTCTAAGTGGGGATTCAGGCTGGACCATCTGACAGGGCTGAGAAGCCATGTTCACCTGGAGAATTGTCCCTTAAAATGAGAGAACTGCTTACCCTGAGCATCATTAAGGAGTGCTGATCCTGACATTACATAGATCCCATGTCTCCATCCACTATGCTCCCCAAGTCTACAACTCTAAGAAAACCCCGGGCTTCGTCTCACCTTTACTAAGATGGTGACCATGAGCTTCAGTTGAGCATTTAGGGATTGTATTGTTGGTCACCTCAAATAAGTGTTCCATCTATATGCCCCTGGAGGAAATGGCTGCTCTTTGTCCTGACCTTGCTTAATTGTCTTCCAAATTGTGCTCTTTGTACCAAGAGGCACCAGATATGACAGTGGTTAGATCAGGATAAATCCATTCACAATATGTTAAATGTCCAAATACACATGTTTTAGTAAACACCATCAGCCAGTGATTCATGAGTTCATTTGCTTATTCACTCGCTCAACCAATATTTGGGACATGATCATGGGCCTGCTACTGTCCTAGGTTCTGACACTAAGTTACAGCACATTTTAAATTTCATGAGATGAGGAGTGTTGTGTACTATAAGCCCATAAAAACACCAACCTGGCCCTCCCTGGTGGCGCAGCGGGTTAAAGCACTGCACTGAGAAGCTAAAGCCACTTCCGCATGAGTTTGATTCCCGCCTGCCCCGGAGGTGACCACATGGCGTGGCAGACCTCTCCTGACCCGCCCGCTGCTCCCCTCAGCAGTGTACTTCGTCGATCTGCCTGTTCTGTTCCCCACTCTGTCTCTGGGGAAGACTCTCATTGCTCCTGAGCCTCTGGCCTGTACCCCAGTTCTGTATGCACAAATAAATAAATCTTTAAAAAAAAAAAAACACCAACATAATCCACATGGGGGTGTATAGAAGGGTTAACAGTGAACAAAAGATTCTTAAGGAAGTCTCTCTATAGGAAAGATTGTGGTGAAGGTGTAGTTTTTTCTGCTTTGTTTTGTATTACCTCATTCAAACTCTTGAAAAAACACATCTTCTTCTCAAGAAACGTAACACCTACCATATCTTACAATATAGCACTTTACAGGACATTTGCTTGAGTTCCAAAACAGTCTGAATCATGGGGTGCCTATGTCCCATTCTCTGAACTTGCCACAAGAAAAGCAAGACAGGTGGTATAGCAGGGTACTTAAGAGCTGATGACTTATAGGAAAGGGTGGTGATACCTACTAAGAATCCTCTTTACATTGTTATATGTATGTGCTATAATTGAGGTAGACATGAGGCCTATAGCAGGTTAGAGGGCAACACTGACCACCTAGATTTGGGGGATACTTCCTAGGAAAAAGGCCATACTGCTATTGTGTCTCTTTTGTTTCGTATCTATTTACTCAGTAATAAATTCCAAATAAATCATGAAAATACAAACAAGGGAGTAAAACTGAGCCCAAATATCTTTACCTAGAAATAATCACAGTTGACACACCCTTCCAGTTGTGTGTGTGTGTGTGTGTGTGTGTAGAGTTTGTATTTTTATTGTTATCATTAAGGTTGAAGAAAGCATAGCAGTCATTCAGTTGTAGCAACGCACCCACAAACTATTCAACCAACAGCCTAAAATATGTCTTTGCATTTTATTTTAGGAAACCATAAATTTGGACACAAAACATCAAGAAAGGAAAAGTCCAGAAACATACAAAATGGGTGTGAATAACAAGTCTGGGGCCATGTTCAAGGGGCGATGCTGACACCAAGTTATTTTCTTCCAGGAAAGCAAGGTTAACTCAAGCTGGCAAGCCCAGATGGTCGTTAGATTTACAGCTATCTAAAGAGGAGCTGCATCCTTTAAAAGGTTGAATTATGATGACTTCTACGTATTGATTAGATGAGAGCACCAGCCCTGCCTTCAGCAGAGAGCTAGGGAATAAGCAGCAGAGGGGAGATGGTGGTGGTTATCGTCTTTATGTAGTTTTCAAAGTCACTTCCGAAAAAGAGGATGAGGTAATAGTTGAAAATACCAGCAATGGACATGAGGAACAGGAACAGTATGATGCGTTTCCCAAATATGTACCCAGGTGTGCTGGAAAAGAAGGAAAGAGAAAATTGTAGAAGCAGCATAAATGACACCAATTGAACAAAAAAATGTTATCTCTTTGAGATACATGGGGTTTAAATTATAGCTCCTTCTACTCAAGAATGCTCCATTTACTTCATATGAAGGATGGAAGTGTCTTAGCTATTATTAGTCTTGGAACATATTTCAAAATGAAGCTGAGCGAGCCTAGACCTCCAACGCCATCATCACTAGGGCTGTGCTGTTCGGCTTCTCCATGTGTTCCTACTCCCTTCTGCACTCCAGCAACTTGGTGGCAGAGGGTGGAAAGTTCTGCTGGCTAGGGGCTTTCAGACTGGGGATCAGGAGTCCCATGAACTCACTGAAGGCCCTCGCTAGGACTACTTCTTCCAGGAGCACCTGTAAGAACCACGTTGGCAATGGTGTATGCCATGTAGGACTTTAAGTACCTCGATGTGAGAAGATGGTTTAAATGAGCCAGTAAGGCTGGTGGAAGCTAAAGGTGCTTTAGCATCTGAATGTTCAATCTATTCTCCCCAGGCAGTCTGAAAATAATTCATGTTGGCACTAAGGAGAACTGGGCCCCCAGCAAGGAACACCAGCCCTTATATTTTAAGAACGAATTTGATACATTCATGTTCTTCTTTCAAAGACTCTAAGTGCTAGGCTGCTTAGACAGATGATCCTCTGGGACGAGGAGGCATTTCCCCAGTGATACATGACCACCTAACTGTGCTCAGCAGGCACTGTGCTGCACTAGCATAAATAGAAAGTCCAGCAAATGGCTTGTTAAGGCTGTTAGTATAGAGCCCTGAGAGGGGACCCTGTGGCAATCAGGACAGCTCAACGAGATGGTCAGCTCCCTTAAACAGGTAAGTTGATACTGCTGAGTCTTGTTTCTTGCTGTAATCAGAACAGTCTGTGGCATCCAGGGACTTAATATCAGAAATTTTACCACTCTGAAGAAACCTCAGAAGTTCATAATGTAACTCCTAATTTCCCTGTGTCATGAATCTGAAAATCACTCAGCAGTTGAGTATCAATCTCCTTGCTATTCACAGGGAGCCAGCAGCACTGGCAGCCTCTGGGAGCAGAAATGAAAAATTTCCAGTCCTCTCCCGAGTTTCTTAATCAGAATCTGCATTTTGACAAGCTCGCTACCTAGCTCAGGGGCATGTTGAAGACTGAGAAGAGGTGCTGGCCCACGCTGTCCCTGCTCCTCGGTCAGCTGTGTTCTTCTCCTCCTGTGTTCCTGTTCACAGTCATACTCATGAAGTGAGACATTCTATCTTTTAATGCGGGAAAGAGAAAAGGGGGTAGATGGACTATGGCTCTGGGAGGTGAGACCCTGCCCAAACTCAGGCCACAGAAAACTTCAGTGAGGCAGAGGCAGAGTTAGGTGCTCAGCCCAGCTCACCAATGCACGACTAAACTTTGAATCAAGACCTCTCTTTGATTGTTTCTAAAAGTTGCTACCTAGTTCTTTTTCCTCAGGCTAGAAAGCTCAGCACTAAACTATTAGGCACTGTAGGGCCAGGCTTTTTCTAGCTATGACTTCATTTAACTCTCAGGCACCCCATGAGGTATTATTAATCTGTTTTCCAGGTAGGGAAACTGAGGGCAGACTAGTTGATGGTTTGCCCACGGGCACTAAGCAGGGAGAGGCAGGGTGGGAATTCAAGGCTAGCTGTGTGCAGCCAGAGGACTGCTCTTTCTATTATACTGACTTCCTGAGGCCTCCTTCAGATTTTGGACATTAGCATTTGGTTATTTACTTTGAAAGAAATGTACCCTCCATAACAGCATAAAACCTCCATGGTGAGAAGCTTAAGGAACTGGGGGAAGGGGGAGGAGGAAGCAATTGTAATAAAGAAAAAATGAAAAACAACGAACAACTAGATGCCAGAGATGTCTTACAGGGATGGAGTAGGGAATAAGATCAAAAATGGGGTGGAAAAGGTGCCCGGGATTATGGTGATGGCACACGGGTGAAATGATGGGAAGTCCATGGGATTACAACTGAGATGGAAAAAGGCATAAAATGAAGAATAATGTAAATATAAATGAAAAAAATAAAATAAAACCTACATGGAAATATAAAAGAAGCATGAAGCCAAACAATTTTCATCTCGAATCTGTCTAAAACTTCCAGTTAGGGGCCTGTCGTGTGGAGAGGTAAACCAAGCACCCCGAGATCTGGCTCCAGCCCCAGCTCACAGAGGTATGGTCTTGGCCAGCTCACTGCCCTCCCAGCCTGAGATTCTGATTGTCTAAGTCCAAACCAGGAACCAGGAAGTTGTACTTTTATAAGTCCCTAAGGAGATTCTGATGCAGGTGGCCAGTGGGTCCCACTTTTAGAAGTTCCAGCATGAATTCCCACATACCACCCAAAGGTTCCAGAAGAACCTTTGTAATTCTTGTGAAATAATCCCATGGTACATATTTGGTGGTCCAGAGGTTAAAATATTCTTGCTAAAAGGAAAATGACTACGTGGGATCAGTCCTTTTGAAAACTGTACCCATTAAAATAATGGTTGCTAAGTGTGGCCTTGCATGGTGTCCTTGATGCTAAGTGTTTCCTGGGCCTCCTTCAAGGCAAAGCCACTGTGTACTTATTGTTATCAGCTCAGCAACTGACAGTATCTGGCCCAGAGCAGGAGGCCAGTAAATATTTACTGCAAGGCACAGAGCGATGGAGATACATGACAAGAGGTGGAATCAGCTAATCTGAGTTCATTGGCTGCAAAAGTTGCCAATCTTTGCCTGTCCATTGCCTGTCCATTGGGCTGAGAACTACCAACTGTAAGAAGTAATTTAGCTGGAGTTCCATCAGGAGACAGGGCTCCACCGACAGGCAGAGAGCAGCATAGTGCCAGCTAGTGAAGGTAGATGATAAAGAGCAAATAGTAAAGTAATACAATACCAACCACCTTTGAGTGTGGGCCCAGGAAGCAGTTTAGAATGAAAGGAAAGAAACGAAAATTCTTGATTATGGATACGAAATTCATAGTTATGGATTCAAACTAACCAGACAGGGAGAATGGGGTCAGAGAGTAGGACAGAAGAATAAGAGCCATAAACTTCCATGAGGAAGAAAGGAGGTAGCTGTAAAATCCTTGCAGGGCAACTTGAAGCTTAAAGGGAGCAGCTGTGGTGGGGAGGTCGGGGGAGGGGAGATGTTAAGGAATGACCTACCAACTCTCAGGATCAGCAGTGACACTGGAGCTTCTGGAATGAAAAGGATCAAAGCAACTTCTGGGGATAATCTAGAACCCAGGGGCGAAATTCTGGGGGCAGGATCTCAGATGCTGCAGATCCTGAGGGCTTTGGGGCATCAAGGCATCTGCTGAGTCCAATGTGACATAATACAGGGACAGAGCCGAGATGTGGAAAAGAAGTAGTTTCAAGAAGTAGGCAGGCATCTACCTCTATACTTTGGTCTAGATCAGGAGTAGACAGCTAATCATCTCCATTTATCATCTCTATTGTTGAAACTGCTCAGAACTGTGTATTAAGATGTATTCTGAAGCCATGTTTGTCTCAGCAGGAAGAGCACCACGATCAGGGGCTATCATGAAGCCAGGAACAACAAGGAGGGTCTAGAACCAGCACAGACAGTGGATTAAGGGCTGGTAGAATATTTTACCACCATCAAAAGGGGGAGATCAGGAGGGACTAAGAGGATAAGCCATTTGCACTTCAGTGGGGTTCAGAGAAATCTAATATTTTTAAGACTTTAAGTCTATATCTCATTATTTATTTTTGCTACCTCCATTCATTCATTCTCTAGTAGATTACTTTTGAAATAAAAAGAATCTTTGGATAAGTGGATACATTTTCCCATCCTCCACAGGCTGTCTTTAAGATCCCAGCAAGTGGAACAGGTAGAGAAGAGAGTGGTGACTGGGGGAATCCCTAGGACTCATTGAGAGAAACACCCGCTGGCCCAAGAGGACAGAACCACCTCATTCCACACTTCCCCTCAAGGCTTGACAACAGGTCAATCACCTGGGGAAAGGAAGAATAGATGCTTTCAGGGTAAAAGAGAATAAAGAGTTTCATTTTGGGCAGTGTTGATGAGGGTGAGAGACATCATAGAATTGTGGTGTTAGAGGATAAATAAGTATGCACTAGAGAGGAATGAAGAAGAGGCTCACACAGAAAAAGAATTGCTATGAGAAAACTCTCTCCTGGCTGCAGCTCACCACCTGACAAGCCTAAGTCATTTAGCTTTCAGGCTCCCGGTTCCCCAGATAGAAAGCCTTCACCCACACCGAGTCACTGCCTTTGTCAGAACTGACAGATGCTATCTGAACGGAGAGCCCATTAACCACCAGAGAAGGGGGCTATTGTAAAAGACAGAGACGGTTGTGACTAGACAAGGAAGAAAAATAGTGGGGAGGCAGGGACCGCTCATGGGTGCCCACTCTCAGAACATATTCCTGCCTCTCGCCTCTCTGATACTTTAGGAATTCCAATCTCCGAGGAACCGAAGGCATACTGTAACGTGAACATTTCTTCTGTTATCATCATTTATGTCATGGAAGTGCAGATTTCCCAACCCCTCTGCTGCCGGGGCTTTCTGCCTGGCAGCGTCTATAAGCGATGCACTGGTTCCTCTCACAGGCTCGATGCCTTGTATGTGGTTGTGTCTTGTTTTCTGAACATTCTTTCTGCTGGTCTCCAACAGTTCTGTTTACTCAAGAGAATTTATCCAAAGGTGTAAGCTTTAGTTCTCATTTCCCTAGGCAAATATTGAAATGTTTCCCTTGCAGGAGGCCTTGGGAAGCCAGACCTGGAAAGTATTTAAGTCCCAAGTGCTGAAGGGTAGGAGAGGAGGGTGGGGTTTGCTAGGAAAGTGCAGGGCAGGGCGTTAAAGTATCCACTGTGAATCCAATGCAATGTGGAGGAATTATTGAATGGGGACACTAACCTCAGTCCTCAGATGTATTTTCAGAACCCACAAAGTTCAGGGGTCCTCAGATGTATTTTCAGAACCCACAAAGTTCAGGGAGGGGAGCATGGGGGACCTTCATCTGCCTTTGTCTCCCACCATCAGTGACCTACACAGAGCCTTAGATGCCAGGTAGAACATTCTTGTAAATTGTAATTCTTCCTGCTCAAAAAGCACAAACATTCAATGGTTCTAAAATAGTCCCAGTGGCCTACCTCTGAGTTCTCTCTCCTAGATAGCCAAAAAAGTACTTTTGCCTCACGAACAAGTACATCAGTCCAGCAAAGGCGGCAGGAACTAAATAGAAAAAGGAAAACACTTGTGTTAGTTTTATAGATGCCAGGACACATGAAACCAACACAATATCAATACAGATTTGAGCAACAAATGTGGGTCACAAGCCTAGCAGAGGCCTCAGGTTCTGATAATCGATGCTGATAAAACTTCAGCCAAAAACCTCTTGCTAGAAGAAATCTGAAATCTCAGTGATAGTAGAGTTACCTTTAGTGGGCATTAACAAGAAAGTTTACAAACTTATCCGGTATCTATTTTGAATCTTTCCACAAGGCCAGTGTCATCTCTTCTATTTGCAGATGTGAAAACTTGGGTCTGAGGCATCCTGGGATTTATGAAAGACCTCAGCAGCTGAGTGAATGGTGGGGCAGCATTCTGGAACCCCCCAGTCCAGTTGTGGGTTTTTTTCTCTCAAAAGTACACCAATCACCTCTGGGCGGATGGCAACCCAATACTTAAACTTTTCCAAATAATTATACTGTGCAGAGAAGATCTCTTGGGAAAGGGACACTTTTTGCATTCTACCCTTCAAGGAACTGCCACAAACAGCACCCAAATAACCCTACAGAGTCCCAACAGCTTGAAACTGAGAGTGAGAAAACCCAGCTCCACCAGGACCAGTGAAGCTATGACTTAATTCATTCTACGACTAAGAAGAGTTGATTACAGCATTCCTACCTATCAAGATTCTTTATGAAGGAGAAACAGGAGCCTGAGGCTAAAACCTCCCAGTTTTATTCAAATACCAAGTTAGTTGCTTTGACCCAGTGCTTTTTACAATAGGTCAGGCACTGCCCCCAGGACCTGGGGTGTGTGGGTTTCCGCTCCTCCCAGCCATCTGTTGAGAAGTACCTCACTGTCATCATTTAACAGATGAAGAATTTAGTGTCAGGGAAGTCAGTTTGCCCAAAGTCCCATCAAGGCATCAGGCTTGTGATGGCCATGGCCTCTGTGCTGCCATAGCGCTCCCTCAGCACAAGCTGGGTCTCAAGCACCTTTCCTCAGCTGAATGAATAGAGGCAAATTAATGAACAATGAATGAATAGGTGACCTGAGGGAGAGGAGGGCTTTGACCAGGTCTTTCTGGTTTCCTAACATCAATAATAACATTTACTGGGATTTATTTATTTATTTCTTAAGATTTTTTTTTTTTTATGTTTACAGAACTGGGGTGCAGGCCAGAGGTGCAGGGGCGATGAGAGGATTCACCAGAGACAGAATGGGGAGCAGAGTAGGCACATCAACCAAGTACACTGCTGAGGGGAGCAAAGGAGAGATAGGAGAGGTCTGCTGCACCATGTGGGTCACCTCCGGGGTAGGGAATCGAACCAGCACTGAAGTAGCTGTGGCTAGCTTGCAATGGTGCATCCTACCCCTTGCGCCACAAGGGAGGGCCCACTGGGATTTATTTTTAAGGTTGAACTTTATTGTTAGGAATGCACCATTTTGTGAGTCATGCATGAATAGTCATATATTGATGGTTTTTATGAATCAACCCAAAGGACACCAAGCATTGTGTTGGGGCCTATGCACACCATCTCACTTAATTGTCCTGGGAACACTTTTAGGTAGACATGGTCCTTTCTCACAAGTGAGAAAATGAGACTTCAGAAAGCTGAGTAATGGAAGGGTAGGAGATGGTGAGGGGAAATGAGAGAGGGGATGGGATGTGAGAAAGACACCGGGAAAGCATATCAATAAGTGTTTTTGGAATGGCTTCCATTTGTCATCCCCCCAAAACCCATGTTCTTTTTACAATTTCACTTCATCCCTCCACATACTACTGCTATATGTCTGATAAGAAAACCGAGCACCTTCGTGAAACTGCTTGTGAGGGTCATCATATTTTTTTGACAATCACAAAAGTCACAATTCACAGTTTGCCTTAGACAAAGCTGGTCCAGCTTTGACCCATTTGGGTGGCTCTGCTCTAACTATCAACCAAGTGGTCATTCAAGAGTAACTAAATTGAACATGAGCTTGCTGAAATTAGGGATAATTTTCTCTGATTTGCTGCAATCAACCCTTCCCGCCCCTTTGCAGGAAAGTGCTCCTGGGTGAACCTGGGCTCTATGGAACACTAGAAATATTGTGGGTTCAAATCTGGACTCCAAATTTCTTAAGTTTGAGCAAGTCTCTTGTCTCTTTGAGGCTTGAATTCCTGCTCTGTAAAGTGAAAGGACTGGGCTAGAGTGATCTCCAAGATTCCTTTCAGTTAAGAATTCTGCAATCTACAATGTCCAGAAAAACGATGGTTATTGGACAGGGTTTATTGACATTTTGGTCGCCTGACAATGCCAACTCCTTTTGGCAGGAAATGCATATTTCCAGGACTCTGAAACACCTTCAAAGTCCCTTTGTATTCATCTGTGTAGAACAACTCGACATTCATCTATATCAAGTATCGTCTCAAACATAAAAGGAATCGTAACTCCCATGCAAGCATAGTTTAACTTGATTTTCCAAGTAATGCTGGACATGTTTCTTATTTTACTCAGGATAGACAGTGGGAAATAAATAGTGAGATTATTGACAGCCATGTGGTGTGCAGAAGGAGACCACATGGTGACCCTCAATTGCTTTCTGCTGCCATCCTTCGCTTCTAGGGTCTACATGTACCCCGCTCATTCACTTCCTGGGGCTTCTCACGCTTGGTAATAATTCATCCATTCACTTATTTGCTATGGTTCATCAGATCAATTGTTGTGTGCCTCACCACCATCTCTGTTTTATCAATAACTGTGTATCCAGGGATAGGTCTTGACACATAGTAGGTGTCTAAAGTGTGTGTGTGTGTGTATACATATATTGTGTATAAATGCAAGTGAATAAAGTAAAATAAAACTTGTGGAAAATCCAGGATTTCGTCCCCAAAACGAAGGCTCTCATCTTGGCTCTCTTACCAGCTGAGTGACCTGTAACAAGTTACTTTATCTCCCCGAACAAAAAAGTCCTCAAAGGAAATGTGGGGAAATAATATTCCTTCTACCTACATCACAGAGTGGGTGAAGAAGGCACGAATTAAATAGGGTACTAGCAGCCTTTTCTCACCTACCATGCCGGGCCACCACACGGAGGCCGGCCAGCTCATGCTAAGCCTCCACCAGATACAGTGCCAAAATCCAAAGAGGCCCCCAAAATGTGATTCTGGTTCCCATTTAACTTTAAATCCATTCCAGGAGTCAACTTGCTGCAGTCAAGACTGGGCTGCTGATAACCCAGGGGAGGCTAGCATCCAGTGTGTGGCTCTGGAACACGGGCCTGGAGGAAGGAGCACCACCAGCTGAAAGCTTATTAGCAGAAGAGCCAAGTGACAGCGGTCCCAGAATAGATCCCGCGGGCGCTCTCATTTATAATGCCCTTGTATCTGAGCTAACACTGCTTAAGGATTCTGAGTCACATTTAGCCTTAAACCACCCTTGTCAGCGCAGTCGCTCTCAACCAGCCACCAGGGAGCATGCATTAGCAATGCACTATCACACCCGCTCTGCTCTGCACAGTCACAGAGCATGCCTGTAACACGTCCTCCTGGGGGGGCTCTCACCTCTCGGGGCTTCGTGGATTGGAGCTAGAGGTGGGGCAAAGTGTTTTCAACAAAAAAGCCTCCACTTGACCTTCCTCCCATTTCAGAAAGAGAACATTTCAAGAGAAGCCGGGTTACCTTGACTGCAGAGGATTCCCGCACTCCAGAGCACAGCCAGGAAAGTGGGGTATGCATCTACGCAGTTCTGGCTGCAAACAAATAGGCAAGGAGGAGACAAATCAGAAGACACATTACCACGATGTCATCTAAAAATTATCTGAATCCCCAAATTAATAATCGCCCCCACTCACAGAGCACAAAGCTCCTTCCTAATTTCACTTCCATCTAACCACTAAGAAGCAGCAGCCAGCCACCGCATCAGAGACAAACAGTGCTGCAGAGGGAGCGCTTGCTCAGAATCCATTTGCTCTGTGCCTCCGCGAGGCGCTTAGAGACGAGGTTTCTTGATTCATTCGTTTTGGCAAGGATTCCTGCTCCTGGCTGTGCCAAAGCTCTTCTTGAAATTGAAAAGTGAGCAATGCAGACAGCAGGGCTGTGGCACAGTTAGGGTGGGGGAGCAAGAGCCCCACGAAGGAAGCCTGAATTGTCAGAGATGCCAATCAGCTCAGCCCTGCAGGCCAGGCTGAGCCCTTGCTCAGGTGAGCCTCAAGCATTAAAGAAGGATAATTGAGAAAAGCTGCTCTTCAGAAAACTCTTTTCCCCTGACTGGTGCCAGCTGCCTGCAGCTCTCAGACCTTGCTCCCAAGGAGGGGCTCTCACTCTACACCAGGCCCCCGGCTGGTGTGTCACCCCCTGGTCTCCCTTCCACTCACCGCAATCCTGAGTACATGGAGACAGCATGCTTTTCCTGTAATGGCTGAAGCAAGTAGCAACAAGCGTGGTGGCTTGAAACAACATAAATTTATTATCTGGAGGGTAAGTCTGTAATGGGCTCAAGCCAAGAGGCTGCAGGGCTGCATTCTTTGTGGCATCTCCTAGGAAGAACCCACTTCCTTAACACCCCAGCTCCTAGGGTCCCCCGCCTTCCTTGCTGATAAACCTCTCCCAACCTCAGTGGCAGCAGGGGACGATCAAGTCTTTCTCACCATTGAATCACTTCAACACCCACACTTCTGCCTCCTTTCTCTTTAACAGACATTTGTAATCACATTGGTCCTATCCAGATAATCCAGGATAATCTCTTTATCTTAAGGTCAACTAGTAAGCAACCTCAATTCCTCTTGCCCTGTAATGTAACCTCCTCTAAGTTCCCAAGAATAGATGTGAACCTCTTGGGGAGGCGGGGGGGAGGGGGGGGGAGAAAGGGGTATTTCCTCTCATGTTTCAAAGGAGAATCTGAAGGTTGAAAAAGCTGAATTACTTGCCCATGTCATCCAGATACGGAGTGGCAAAGGCAGGAGTCCTAACCTGGTCAGTCTCCAAAACCAAGTCGGTTACTTCTTCAGCTGTGCTAACGAGTGAGTGTCCTCTTGGGGACTTCACCGCCTAGACCAAGTCTAGAAAGATGCACCAATGCACCTTTATGGAAAAACAACACAACAGGTCCTGGAGGCATGAGAGGGTAAAGCAAAGCCATCTAGTGGAAAGGGGGCATGACTAAGATTTAGCCCCTGACCTGACATTAACCATCCTTTTTCATTGCCAAAGCAATTTCTTTGAACTTACTTACCATAAAGAGACTAATCATTAACAACTCTAAGATCCAGTGCAGCTCTCAGGGGCAATAGTCTATGATGCTGATTCTCAAAGTGGTCCCTGGACTCAGCAGCACCAGTATTGTCTAGGCACCAATATTGTCTAGGTGCTTGTGAAAATGATAATTGTATATATATTTTTTAAATTGGCATTGTTTTTGTAAAAGGTTTGCTTTCTCCTCTCAGGTGTAGTCCCGGTAAAATTCTCACCACAAATTCACCTGTGAACCATGGCTAGTCTCTTGTGCGCTCTCCTCCCCTTAAAAAATGCTAATGTTAGTGCCTACCTCAGATGTAAAATCTCTGTGGGTAGGCCCAACAATCTGTTTTAACAAACCCTAAGGTTATGCAGATGCAAGTCAGGTGTGAGAACCACTGGTCTAGTATAATTCAAATCACAGAGCAGAAATGGTATTTTCAAAATGTGTTAGAACGGGTGTTTAAACTGATAGTATCTCACCCTCAGGAATACCACTCAGAACTCTGGAATGACCAGCCCTTGGTCTGTCCCTAGCAGAGAGACTGGGTCATGTCCTTGGCTTATCACTTGCTAGGTGCTCTCAACACTGGAATCTTCCCTGAGCAGGAAGTACAATAAGAATGCCAAAGGACAGGAGCCCCTTACAATGAATGTCTCATTTAGGGTGAGAATAAACAAGTCCTAAAGTGGTGATTGCATAAACATCAATCTGTTCTTATACATAGAGGCAGGCACAAAACTACAACCTCAGGACTCAGACAATGAGACCCATTTCCCAATTCAAGAAAACTAGGGAGAAATTCCATTTTATTTAGCTAACATTCTATGTCTGATGGGAGCAAGCATCTAATACTCCAACAGTTTGAAAATCAACCCCTATCAAAGATTTCCCCTGGTTCCTCCTCATTCTCATGCTTCTGTTTAGTGGCTTTTGCCTGATTAATGCAAATTTTTCTTCCTAATTCTTAGTTATCCGAGAGACTTGCTTATTAGAGAGAATTATCTAGTGATTTGACATTGGATTATTCCATCATCCCTACCTATTACCTCAATTAACTGCTGTCCCTAATAAAACATGGTCTGTCTGGAGTTAAATTCCTACCACTACAAAATAGTGTGTTCCTCCTCTGGATTTCCAGGATACATCAGAGTACCGTTTCTTCATTCTGGTTCAAGCCAGTCTCCCTCCCTACCCAGGACTCTGATGTATCTTTCCCCCCAAAACTCATGCTCACATGCCCCTTCTTGGTAGATGATGGTTGCTGGACTGAGTCAGTAGCTTGTGTCAGTGATGTCCCATCACTACCTATGGGACAATCATGTGGCCATTAAAGCCATGAAGTGTGGGCCCTTCACCAGATCTACCTTTTTATAGCTGTGTGAATTTGGGTGCATTTCCTAGCCTCACTGAGCCTCAAATTTTCATCTATAGAAGGTGACTAGAGACATTGGTAATTACCTCCCTGGATTGTTGTGAGAATAAAATAAGATGAAGCAGTATCTGGCTCATAGTAAGCTCTGAATAAATGGTGGCTATTATTGCTATCACATCTTCCTTCTTATAAGTCCCAATGGAAACATCTTTCCTATTGACAAATTATTATTATTCCAAATTTTCCTGTGTGGAGAGTTTTCTGCAAGACAAAACTGACAAGCCCATTTTGACTCTCATTTCCTGAGGTCTAATTGTGAGCTGCTGAGCTGATCTAGTGGTGATTCACTATGCTATGTTCAACTGGATCCACTACACTATCAACATTTTCAAGGAGATAAGGACTCCTTGCTATTTTCCCTTTCACTTTTCTCCACCTTTAGGAATAAGACATAGAAGTAACTAACTTTGGTTAGCATTAACTTAACATAAGTAAATATCACTACTAATGATAGGAATAGTATTAATAGTATTAATAGGCAAAATGAATGAATATCTAGCATCTCTGAATAATTTGACAAGTTATTTACTGGTGGTTGTGCTGCATCATTTGAAAATGTAGAAGTGAGTCTAGAGTGGATTTGGAGAGATCTCAGAGAGAAGGGATAAGAGGGTGGCATTTCCCATGAAGCATTTCATGAAACATTAAACGTTTAATATGCTCTGAAAAAAAAAAAAAAAGAGGAAAGGTCTGTAGTTAAGTAAGAGTTTCCCTTCTTGGAGAATCAAAAGTAAATCTGTCCCTTAGAACATAAAATGTTCTCTAAAATCTTACCTCACAAAAGATGCTATTACCTCTGTGGTAGTGTATTCTGTGGACTATAGTATGGTATAGTCCATGGACTGTAAAGTCCACAGACTTGTAAATACAGCATACATATAAAAGTGTTACACATCTCCAGAGAGCCTTCTCTTCTCTGCAATCCATACTTACACATTCATGGGGGAAAATCTTAAGTCAATTAACTAAGATGTTCCTCCAAAAATCAAGCTTTGACTGCTCTAGCTGAGCTCACTCGTTGAGAGCAGAGCCTTGAACTGTTTTAGATACATGAACAGAGAGTCAAGGTGAGATTCCTTTTCTCTCTCAAAGGAAATGGTGGAAAGCACCATTAGCTAAAATCAAGTCTGAACTGATAGTTTGCACCTGGCCAGGGTGTCTAAAACTACCCAAAATCTTGCAGTATGCCTCTGTGAACAGTCATGTTTTATGCTGAAAACTATGCATCAGACTTTTCAGTCCAACAGCATCATGTATCCTTTATGCTTTTTTTTTATTTATAGTCATGGTCTCTAAACACGTATGATCTCATCCACCAAGTTTTGTCCTGCAACCCTATGATAAGTACATTATTTATAAATGTTATACACACATTCACAATCTAGATGTTAAAAATGAGTAAAACTTGATTTTGTATTTTTGATTGTAAAATTAACTTCTTTTATCTCCGTGCTTCATCTTGTGCTTGGGTGTCTCTGGTGCTCTTGGATAAGCTCTTGCTGGGGCTGACTTTCCAGTGGACTAGCCCATAACTTCCCTCCCAGAAGCTTCCTGCAGAGACTAGCGTTGGGGGCCTGTGGGTGTGGCCACACACAGTTCCCTGGCACATTGATCTCCCCACCCTGCAGCAACCCACCACAGACACGCGGCTCTGTAAAGTGGGCCAGGGAGGAAGTGGTCTTTGTAGAGCCACAGCAGTGTCTGGGAAACTTCAACTCACAGAAAATTCTCCTTCCCCTTCTTAGTTCCTACCTCTCCACAGCTCCCCACCACTACCACACCCCATTCCATGCCCATCTTTTTCTTCCCCTCGCACAGAAGTTAGAAGGACATGGGTCCGGGGAACTGGGCTGCAGCGCCCACACAGTGGGGACCCCAGCAGCACTGATCACCCATCACCCTCGAGCAACTTGGCACCACGGGAGCCCCACGCCATTGCAGAACTTCCCAGCTACCCTTTAAAATGATGCAGCACAGCCAGCACCCAACAACACTTCTGCAACTGGGAGAGTGATCAAGGGAGACGGTATAAAGATGGGGATGTTTTAGAAGCAGACTCGTTTACTCCTGGGTGAGATGGCAGAAACTGGCCAGTCTGGTGTGCTCCCCCAAATGCAGCAGAGCTCCGAGGCCTCTGACCCTTGGGTGTGAGTCGCCCCTCCCCCCGAGCTTGCTCCTTCTTGCCATTCATGATTGCCAAAAGCGCTTTTCTCTGGTGGCCACGACTTCCCCTTTGGAAGGCTCTCTGAGGACATCAAACTTACCTCCGAGCCCAGACGGAAGGACGTCACCATCCTTCACCATCTCACAGAGGAAGCTCCCTTTCCGACAGGCCTCCCATCACAGAGAAGGCAGATTTGCCACTGGCTTGAACCCTCTATTTAAATGCCCTCCACATAAAGGAAAAAGGAGTGTTTTGAATAACATCCCTGTGAATTTGCATCCCAAATAGCACCATCTCCTTCACTGAGCTGTTCAGGTGTTTTCAAACCCTTTTTTTAATTCAAAAGTAAGTGATGAGGGTGGGGTGGAAGCAATTGTACAATTGGCCCAATCTTTCTGTTTTTGCTCAGTTTGCTGAAGGAGACCTGAAGCACCTGTCACCTCTGGGCTTCCACTGAGGGAACAGAGGGGTAGATGATTTAAAGGCGTTGCCAGTCCGCCTTGCCCTTGCTTCTGAAGCCAGCTGATGTGAGAAATGGCTGGTTTTCACTGTAGTATCTTGGACAAACCCACAGGAAACTGGGCAACTCCCATGACTAAATGACTGGACCATGGGGGTGGGGTGGACAGCACTCTTCCCCCGAACCCAAGATTCCCACTTCCTTTTTTTTTTTTTTAACACTAACACTTTCTAAGATGACAAAAGGTGCCCACAAAGCCTTTTAGGCCAAGTTCTGGCTTTTTGAAGTTTCCCTGACAGACATGGGAGCTTGAAGCTCTTCACTCCAGTAGGGAGAACCCACAGCCCATGCCCCACTCTGTTAGTAATCAGGTTCAGAGTTTGGACTCACTTGGCAGTGTAGACCCTCTCAAAGGCAAGGGTCCCAGTCCTCTGGAAGCTCCGCCCATTCTGGGTCTTGCTTTCATGCTCCACCTTCTGGGCAAAGAACCCTGTCAGAGGGAAAGATTTGGATTTGGTTTATCACAGGCATGTGCAGGAGCCTATAACTCTATTATTTTACCAGAATGTTAACTGTTTCCCTGTGTTGGCCTCCAAAGAGACTTAAATATGTTCCCTCAAATGAAATTCAGCAAAAATTTATTCAGCAGCTGCCCTCTACTAGTCACTGTGCTTGGTGTTGTGGATGTGACATTAGGCAGAACATAAGCTCCACTTTGAAGGCTCATACAGTTGAAGGAAACAGATCAACAAGTAATAGAACTGACACTACAGAATGACTTATCACAGGCACACTGAGTGAGAACAGAGTGCTATCAAGAGTCAAAGAAGGCAATATAAGGCAGTGCTTGGGTCACAGAAAGATTCTCAGAGGGTGTGATACTATGATAAAATCTGAAGAATGAGCAGGACCAACCAAGTAGATGAGGAGACAGCAGAATCTCACCACTCAAGTAGAAGGGACCGTGCAGAGGTCCAGAGGAAAGGCTTCTCTGGTTCAGCATGCCTCCTTATAATAAAGGAGGTTGAGGGGGCAGGGGATCAAAATGCAAAATTCCAGCCCTCCCTGGTGGCACAAGGGTTAGGACACAGCACTGCAAGCTAGCCATAGCCACTGCACTGCGAGTTCAATCCCCGGCCCTGGAGGTGACCCACATGGCACAGCAGAATGCTCCTGTCCTGCCCACTGCTCCCCTCAGCAGTATACTTCGTTGATCTGCCTGTCCTGCTCTCCACTCTCCCTGGTGGAGCCTCTCACCACCCCTGTACCTTTGGCCTGTTCCCCAGTTCTGTATGCATAAATAACTAAATCTTTTTAAAAAAAAATGCAGAATTCCAAAGGAAGCCAAAGAGAGAGTTGGTGAATTGTTCATTCAATAACAGGCATCTTTTCAGTCTTAGCATGCATCCCAGAAACAAATAAAGAAAGAGCCTTGACCTGAATAGTTTATGTTCTGGCGAGGATAAAAGGGAAGGAGACAGGCCACACGACCAACAAAATCCACAGACTGGATGTGTGCACCGTGTGCAGAGTTATGGGCAAAAGAGGGGGAGCAGATTGTGGTCAGGGGCCATTGGAAGTGCGAGACAGAGTGAGCCTGGATGAGGAGACACTAAGTGAGCCAGGGCTGGTAGAGGATAGTGGATGAGTGCCCCCTTGATCTGGCAGTTTCTACTTTGACCTTGATGAGAGCCATGTTAAGAAATTTGAAATAATTTCCACCTCAAGATTAACTAGGATTTGTGACAGGCGTAAATCAAGGGGCCGAATAACAGGAACGTCACTCTGTTTAGTATGGTGAGTGTTTAGAGGGGTAAGACCCTGAGCAGGGCGACAGCGAGGAGAGACAGCTAGGGTAAGAGAGGAATAAGAGATGCCTGCCAAGGAGGCAATATCTTCAGGGTTTATCAACTGAGTGGGTCACGGAGGTGGAAGCATGAAAAATCTCTCTCCACTGCCCTCCTATTTTATTTCTTTAGTCCTATTTCAAGAATGAAAAAGGGAAAAAATATGATTGTCAGGGTCCACCCATAGGGTTCCTTTTGATCAGCTTCATATTAGTCTCCTCAAAAAGACATGAGGAGAATGCCTTATCAATTGTGTATATGAATAAAAGCCCTTCATGGTTTTCTTTTTGGCCAAAGTACCTGCCTTTCCTAAGAATGTGCCCATTTGGAGCAAAATGACAGAACTATCTTGTAGGAAGGGAAGTAAGTCACACAGCAGGTTCTTGGCAAGTACCTGACCATTCTTCTTGGGCCTCACACATGTCACTCTGTGAAGTGAGCAGGGCTGCCCCACTTTGCAGACAAGGTCACTAGGGGTCGGGTAGGTTCAGTAACTTTCTGAGAGCCACTCAGTCAGGACCAGAGAAGCTGCAGATTCAAATACAGCTGCAAGGATGAGGATGTTCTTCCTCTTACTGGTACATGGACACTCACTTCAGGGATCCCTTCAGCTTGCGCATTCTGAAAGTCTTTTTGTGCCATGGAATACAGTAGAGAATTTTGATGACACCCTTTCCAGAACCCAAGGTAACACCCCTGACTTCTGACATGTGGTCAAGGAGAACATTAAGGTTAGAGGTCATTTCTGAAACCAGGAGCATGACTTCACTATACTTCTCAGAGCCTTCCTCTCTTCTCCCTCCCTTTGCTCAGAAAATAACCCTCCCCCACTTTTTAAGCCTTAACCTTCTGCTTGTGATGTGACCCCATTCTTGCCAGAGTTTTCCCCATTTCCTAAAACTTCAGTATCCCTTTTTCTCACCTTAACCCTAGAAAAAACTCAGATCTTTCTTACACTTGAAAGAAACAAAAGCAAGCCTGCCTCAGTCTGTGATCCCATGAAAGTCGACCTCTTTTTGAAAGAGTTGGGCTGTCTTTACCTACTCCACACCACCATCTACACCCTTGTTATCCCTGACTGTCTTGCAGAAACTAAGCATGCAAAGATCATTAACCTCTTGTCTTGGTTAGTTGCTCTTAAACTAAGCCAGAGAGAAACAGACAGAGACACAATGAGAGCAGGCTAGCAAACATGCTAGGTCACTTTATCTATGTCAGCTACATGACTGAGAATCTATCGCATGCTAGGTCACTTTACCTATATCAGCTCATGTAGTACCTGCAGCTACCACACATCGTGTTACTAGTAAATCCCACTGTCAGTTAAAGAAATTGAGGGGCAGAGAAGTTAAATAACTTCCTCAGGACCACATGAAAAGATCTTGAAATTTAGGTTTGCCACAAAGTTAATATGAAGAAAGGATGTTACAGGGATTTTCTGAGCACAAAACGGCATACACAGTCTAAGCTTTTCCAGAGACTAGAAACAGGACCAGTGGATAGCAGTAATAGAGCAACAAATTTCAGCTCAACATAAGAAATAATGTCTTGAGTAGTGAGTGCTTGAGTAAGTGGATTTGAGGAAATAATGAGACAATGGTACAGACATCTGGAATAAGTTTGAATCCCGGTTTCATCACCTGTTGGTTCTAAGAGCATCAACAAATGTTCTAATCTCTCCAAGCTCTACTTTGCTTATCTGTAAAACAGAAATCATGGTACATATGCCAAAGGGTGCAAGGATTAAATGATCTATGTCCAGCAGGAGCATTGTGCTTGACACAAAGCAAACTCCTAATACACCTAAGAATGGGAAAGAGCTAAGTGGGTTCTGAGTGCTCCCTCACGGCTGTGTGCAGGCGGGAACTACTAGGACAGTATAAAAAGCTTCTGCATTGGAGGAACTTCATGAGTTCATTCAATTTCTAGGGCCCATCAAACCCTAGGCTGGGTTGTGAGCTCTTCTAATACGGTGGCCGTGAGGTTCCATGTGAATGTGAATATTGGGGTGGGAGTGCCAGAGATGGCATGGCAAGGTAGTCAGCACTTCCAGCTCAGTTTCTCTCCTGACCACAGCTCTCACAAACTCTTCTGCTGCAGGTTACCTGTCTCAGACAGAGGATGACATTAATGCTACTGCTACTTTCTGCTATAACCAAAAGGGTTGCAAGAACAGTTCTCCTCAGGAAGGTAGATCTTTCCTCGGCTACCCCCACTCAGGTTTCATGCCCGAACCTCTATGCCTCTTCCCTCTGCCCCCTTCTTCTCCCCTTCTAACTAACTTCTAACTTGGCTTCCTCTGGAATTATTGTCTCCAAGTATTTATTTTCAAGATTTGCTTCATGTCAACACTGCTGAAGTTGAAGGCTCTCTGGACAAGATTTGTAAGACATTGGAAAGTGGACTTTGGAAATTCTGGTCTTAGTTTCTTGGAAAGTTGTATTTTCACGTTTAAATGTGTCTTTAACCTGTTTTGCATTCCCAAATCTATATTCTGCTAGATCAGGCTGGAAGAAGGCTCCAAGTTGAAGATCCTAATGACTTAAGAATATTTGAGAGGCAAAGGCAGAAAGTGCTATGAGGTGGATGGGCCTCTGGCCTCTCCGAGGAAGTGAAGCTCACACATGTCAGGAGCAAGAGTCCAGACATAAGTGAACTGGGCTTCATTGTCTTGGAAGAGGCAAGTGTGCAGTGCCTGGCAACACCATGTAAATATTTTTAAAAGCTAACAGGGAGTGTTTTGAATGGTATTGGGGGCTGGGAGGAGGACAGAGAAGTACAGTTTTTGCATATTTTCTGAACTCTGTGAAATAGATCGATTGTTGTAACATTTAGGCTTATTAGAATTGCAAAGAAAGGCTCTGGAAGTACATTTGGACCTTGGCATTTTCCTAAAATCACACCAAACAAGCAGAGGTGTTAGATCCCAGGTCATTTGAATTTTTCACGCTCTCCCACATGACACATTTAGCAGTCAGAAACAAAAAGCCTTCACACAGTGATCTCAGTTAGCAAGTGGGAGTCTGAGTCTGCACTTCAGAAGAGAGTGGGCCTGGCTGACGCCTCCCAGGAAGTCCGCAGCTACTCCCTGCCTGGCTTCCAAAGGGCAGCAGTTTGTCTCTTCCCCAAGCACATGTGGAAAGTCACTTGCCCACAAATTGCCCTGGCTGCTCACAGGGGCCCAGGGAAGGACAAAGGCTGTGACTGCGGCCACGCTGTCAACACAGCTACACACCCAAGTCGCTAGTCTGGCCGGCTTGAAATGTCTCCAGCCCAAAACAACAGTTCTGCCCTGCACCACACTGTGTCTCTCCCACCAGGGACTCTCCATTCCTCCCATTCTTTCATGGGACTCCGTTCACAAGGCTGCTGTGTGCTGTTGTTAGCTATCTCCAATGACCAATCAAAAGTCAAGGCCTTTAGATGGTGGTGAAGACACAGACATCTGGCCATCTATAATGTTTTCTCCTGTTCCAAAGACTTAACCTCACCTGCGGGAAATCATTCAAAATCTCTATCCACCTCCAGTCTGCTCAGGCCTTGCTGTGTTCCTGCCCAGCAGCCCAACACCCACTCAAAGGAGCAGGGCTAGGGCGTGGAGCAGCTTAGGAGAGATAAAGCGCTTTTCTCATAGCAAAAACTGTACAACCTCCCTCTTTCCCCCACCCCCAACACACACACACACAAAAACACACACACACACACAATTTCTGGGCTGAGCAGGAACAACTCTGAGCGAACGCAAACCTCCCAGCTGGTCCCAACCCCACAAGTGAGAGGCACTGGCTGCCCAGCTAAGACTGTCATCAGCTGTCTTCATCGGTATAAGGACACAGGCAGGGTGTAACACAGCGCTGAAGGTGCCAGCCCACCCACCCCCACTGAATCTGCGGGTTCTGTTCAGGCTTCCTCCTCTGCTTACCTGCCCATCCTCTCCCATTGCTACCTTGCTCACTGCCTCATCCCCCTAGACCAGGAACACTATCTGGAAGAGAATGGGGTCTCTGTAGGTTTATAAATAAATGAGCCCCCGTGCAGGGGGCAGAGTGATGACATAGTGATGGCTTGAAGAAACGGCAGCCTAAACAATCCCTCTGTGGGCTGTAGCTCCATCGTATGTGATTGAGTATGGAAATGTCAGGGTCAGAAAGCCATCAAGTGTTGTTCATTATGCAAAATTGCACCTGTCGACTATGGGGGGCTCCAGGGAAGACTTACCCTGTGCCTGGAAGCCTCGTCACCAGCCTCTGCCACACTCAAGTTGGAGGGAGGTATCTGAATACCAAAATTGACTAAATGCTCATATTTCCAAAGTGTGGCAGTGAGTAAACATTCGGTAATTACCACTAAGCTATAGCAGCTGCCCTTAGTAATAACTTCCCTAATTTTGCTATCTTAATAAACTGAAAAATGAGTCGCCACTGGAGATTCTTATAAAAATATTTGAAGCTGTCATCACTCAGAGCTTTAAGGAGAAAGTCCTACACAGTCCTTTTTCAGATCTGGGTTATCTTGCTCATTTTTCTTTTTTTTAAGTGATAACAGCATTGATGAAAATGCGGACCTTCTCTCTTTATGTCAGTGTGTAATACTTATGAAAAATGCATCCAAAAATTGTATATGGCTAGAGAAAATAAAAAGTATTACAAGGAGCCTGTTTCCTCAAAAGAAAAAAAAAAGCAAGCCTTTTTACCCTCATATTCTCAGGTTCACTTTTTTTAAACCTACAGATGACAGGTAAATCCAACTGTACTTAGTAAAGCCCGAAGCCTGAGTGAACATATGCCTCATTTCTCTTTCTAGGCGTCTTGCCTTCTGCCCCTCTCTGGCCACATTAATTCATAGTTAAAATGCTGATTGCAGACATGTCACTGAGAGGCTTGGTAAAGCCTCTGGCTGGCTGCCCTGGCTTTGCAAACATGATTAGTCTTCACCATTAAAGTGGAAGACCGGGAGAAGCAAAAGCCCAAATTCACACAGAAAGGTACACACCCCATCCTATCCATTCACCATAAAACAAACAATTGTAGACAAAAATTGTAGAGAGAGAGAGACTGAGAAAGCCTGACTTTGAAACAAGTGGCAGACAACGTAGACCCTTGCATTCATCCCCGGGTGAAGGCTTCCCTTACCATTCTGGACCACACTGATGAGGGTGACGATGGCCAGCAGGACAATATTGCCCATGGTTTCTTGATCCATGTTTGCTTCAGGCTCCCAAACGAAAACTGCTCTGACTCGTGGCAGCCCAGACCTGCACTGTACAGAAAAGGGAAGTGAGGGCCTGCACTAGCTTTCATCATTAGAATTTCCGAAGAACCCAGCACAATTACACAGAGCGTTCTTCCTTTTTTTTTTTTTTTTTAAACTAACTACTAAAGTGCCCTGGCTCACTGTGACCTGCCAGGAGTAGCAAGAATTGGGAGAAGTGGAAGGAAAGGGGAAATAAGCCTTTTTTGAAAAATAGAAAGCACCAAAAAGATCTGTATCCTGTCCTCGGGGGAAAAAATTGACTACTTAACACATGATAGGGTCCAAATAGCAACCACAAAAAAGGTCAAGGTGAATGAATAAGTTAGGATGGGGGCAGGGAGTAGACAGAGAGCTGATGTCTCCATTTCTACAGAAAAAATTAATTAATTAATTAATAAAACCAAACCAAAGAATTTAGATAAGGGGAAGAAGTGGGGTTACAGATGACCCTATAAGAAAACTTTCAAACAGGAAAGCTTGCTAAGGACTATAACTGACTTTTCTGAGGTAATTGTTGAGGCGCCATCTCTGAAATTCTCTTCAACATAATAATACGACGGAGAGGAGCTCTGAGAGTGAAACTCTGGGTCCAGTAGATGGCTTTTTGCAAGACAGCTTTCTCAATGTAAATGGCAGTCAGAGGTTATGCAGAATATTGAAGATTGCCATTCATAATATATACAAATATTGAATCATTTGTACACCTGAAAAAATGTCAATTTTACTGCAATTAAAAAATTAACAAATCCAAAATAAGGCATGTAACGCTCCACACCTAAGAAGATAGGAAATAGCATAGCTTTCCTCATATCTTCCTACTAAGTTGTCATTCAATGAACAAATTATGTAGTGGGGTGCCTCTCTTGACAGTGAAAGCAATTAATGGACTCTTTCTAAAGCAGAAGGGAAGAAGGAGGGGGAAATGTGAGGGAGGGAAGAAAAGAAAGACAGGAGGAGAAAAAAGAGGAAAGGAAAAAAGAAAAAGTAAGATACCTGCAATCTTTATCCCGAATCAACAAATATTTGGCAGTACTAACAAGGAGCTTTT